TTTCTGGAACTGTCTTCGGGGCATCTTGGGCGGTTCGAGCGATGTTTCGGCGATTCGGGGCCATCTTGCATTGTCTAGGGGGCCTCTGGGGCCTCTCTTGGCTTCCTCTTGGGCTGTCTTGGGCGGTCGGGGCTCCGGAAGAGGAGTTTTCTATACCCCCTGTCCCCGGGAACCGAAAAACGTCGGACATGACATCGGAAATATCCCCGTGTACCGAAACACGTCGGAAATGATGTCGGAAATAACGTACGCCCCCCCCCTGCAGAGCGAAGTTTGAGCGAGCTCAAGTCCACCGAAAAACGTTGGAAATGACGTCGGAAATATCCCCGTGTACCGAAACACGTCGGAAATGACGTCGGAAATAATGTGCTCCCCCCCTGCAGAGCGAAGCTTGAGCGAGCTCAACTCCACGCTTTCAGAAACTCACACGCCGGATCGGCGGATTTGGCGACGGTCCCGGACTAGAGCCTGGAGTGGACTAGTTGCAGAACGCCGCGTGCGGAATAGAGGAAGATGTCGTAAACTACAGGTTCGGAACTCACAAACACACACACCATCAAAACGGTTCGGACAGCTGCAGGAGGATAGTGATTCGTGGGCACGCCGCGCATCAGTATGGGAACTCCTTGGCAGTACTCGGCGGGCAGAGCGACCCAGGTCGAGATGGGGACACTCACCAGAAGAATACGAATAAGATGAATATAGGGGAGGAGGAGGAGGAGGAGGAGGAGGAGGAGGAGGAGGAGGAGGAGGAGGAGGAGGAGGAGGAGGAGGAGGAGGAGGGGGAGGGGGAGGGGAAAAGGAGGAGGAGGAGGAGAAGAAGGGAGGAGGAGGAGGAGGAGGAGGTTTTCAATGCAGTAGTGTGCTGCGAGAAGGCACGTGGAGCTGAGGTTCCGCCGCGCGCCCGGCTCCGGGACGCCCCCGGGCTCCGGCGCGCGCGAGAGAGCGAGCGAGTGCGTCGGTGAGTCGCACGACGAAGCGTCGGCCCGCCTCCCCAGGCACGAAGCCTGGCATCGCTCGGGGGCGGCAAAGAGGGGGGTGATGACTAGGGGGGGGGGGGGGATATCATGGCGGGGGCCATGATATTTCCCCAGATTTCATGGCGCCTCTTCTTATTTCATTACGTCCCTGGCCCCCCCGCTGGGCCGCGCACATGCCGCCGGTCATGATTTGCACCCCCCCCTCTTGGACACCCCCCTCTTGGCCGCTCCCGAATCGCTCGGACGTGTGCATTTGTTCTCGGCGAGAACCATTGAGGACGATCCTGGGCCACCGAGCAACAAAAAAAAGACACGCACAAGACCGACAAATGCACGGGAGAAATGGGCATCCGAGCGATGGCGGGGAAGCAGCCACCTGGGCGGCCGCGAGCGACCGCGGGGCGGCGACGAAGGACATCCCTGGCCCCCCATCGCACGGATCGCAGGAAAGCGCGCGCAAACCCTTGAGGGGCGCGAGCATTGTTTGGGGAGCGTGAAGGGGTCGTTGCCCAGGGAATGCTGGCCCGTTGTGTGTGTGAGTGTCGAGGGATCGCGGCCTCGGAGGCACGGCGAGTGCGCGGGCGTGATTGGGAGGAGCGGAGGGAACGGCGGAGGCGGAGGAGGGCATGGACGAAGGGGGATGTGGAGCATGAGGACGAGGAGGAGGAGGAGAAGGAAGAGGAGGAGGGAAAAAGGGAGAACGAGGAGGAGGAGGGGGAGGAGGAGAAGGACGACAAGGACAAAAAAGAGGTGGATTAGGAGGAAGAGGAGGAACAGCAGGAGAAGGGCGAGAAGGAGGAGGATAACGAGGAAGGAAAAGAGGAAGAGGAGGAAGAGGAGAAGGACGAGGAGGAGGACGAGGAAAAGGAGGAGGAAGAGGAGGACGACGACGAGAAGGAGGAGGACGAAAAGAGGATGAAACAGAGGACGAAGAGGGGGTCGAGGAGGAAAAGGAGGAGGAGGAGGCGGAAGAGTAGGAGGAGGAAGAGGAAGAGGAAGAGGAAGAGGAAGAGTAGGAGGGGGAGGGGGAGAGGAGGAGGAGGAGGAGGAGGAATTGGAGGACGAAGAGGAGGACAAGAAGGAGGAGAAGGAGGAGGAGGAGGAGGATAAGTTGGAGGGAGAGGGGGGGGGAGGAGGAGGAGGAGGAGGAGGAGGAGGAGGAGGAGGAGGATGAGGAGGAGGAGGAGGAGGAGGAGGAGGAGGAGGAGGAGGAGGGAGGAGGAGGAGGAGAGAGGGAGGAGGAGGATGAGTGAGGAGGAGGAGGAGAGGAGGAGGAGGAGGAGGGGAGGAGGAGGAGGAGGAGGAGGAGGAGGAGGAGGAGCACGAGGAGCACGAGGAGCACGAGGAGGAGAGATTGACCCCCCTCCGCCGGCGAGGTTATTTTCGCGACAGTGCGAGATGCGGGACGACACGGCCCCCGCCTCTGCTCCCCGCGGGCGGCGGTCCGCGCCCGGGGCCTCGTCGGCGCGCCGAGAGAGCCCGGGGCTCCTCGCGGGACGCGCTGGAAGCACAGCCGGGTCTGGCCAGGAGGTTCGCGCACATGTTGGCCCCCCCGCTCTCGTGCTGCCCTCGCGCTCGAGGCCCGTCCGCGCCCAGACTGCCTGGACCTCCCGGGTACAAGTGCAGTCTTTTGTGGGAGGGGTAGACGCGTGTCGACGGACGGCGAGCGACCAAAAACGAACGGCGAAGAACGGCGAGCGGCGAGCGACGACGACGACGACAACAGCAACGGTCGACAGCGACGGCGAACACAGACGACGGCGAACGACGACTGATAACAAACGCCCAACGACGATCGGCAGACGACGACGAACGACAACGGCGACGGCGGTGGCGGCTTTCGCACTTCCTCCTCTGGCGGCCTCCAGAGGTGTCTGGTGGTCTCCAAGGGTATCCGCATGCGTCTAGGGGGGGTGAGCACTCAGACGTTCGACCACCCAGAAACGCAACGAAACCATACAACGTGCGCCAATCTGAACGGGCTCATCCAAGACGAAAGGATATCTGCAAGGGTATGCTGTCCAGTGTGAAAGACCACGCGCGCGGCCAGTGCTGTCCAGGGCGGGGACGAAGCCAGGAGGAGGAGGAGGAGGAGTGGGAGGAGGAGGAGGAGGAGGAGGAGGAGGAGGAGGAGGGCAAGGATATCTGACCGCGCGGCGGCCCGAAGCAAGCTGCTCCAGGCCACCGCCCGGGGCAGCCGAGATGGCCTCCTGCAGGGGGGCAGCGCTGGGGCGCGAAGGTGAAGGCGCGCCGCGCATCACGCTGCGCGATGCGCGAGCTTCGGTGCCCCAGGGTTAGGTCGAAGGAGGAGGAGGAGGAGGAGGACGAGGAAAAGAAAGAGGAAGAGGAGGAGAGGACGACGAGGAGGAGGACGAAGAAGTGGATGAAGAAGAGGACGAAGAGGAGGGGAGGAGAAGGGCATGGACGAGGGGGGATGTGGAGGATGGGTGCCCCAGGGTTAAGCCGGGCCTGTCCCCCTACAGGGGGAATGTTCAAAGCATCGTAATAAACAAAATGATATGTAGACTATGTTTCTAGTATGCTTGGGCATGTGTTGAGTACTGTCAGGGTTCTTGTTTTCGTCCAACATCCGCCTCTAGGAGGACAGGCCTGACCTAACCGTAGGGAAGAGCGGTGAACGAGACGGCGAGTGGGTGGGCGCCGAGGAGGGGTCTGATGAGGACCAGGAAGGCGCGAAGGTCTAGGTGTCTACGCGGGTCGCCCCCCGGTGCGCGAAAATCCCCCCCTTGGCCAGAGGAGTGTGCCAATGAAGCGTCTTTGTCGGGGGACGGTTTGACGGCCTCCGCCTCCAGAGCCTCACTTGCAGCAACAAGCTCCGCGCTACCATGAGCACTGCTCAAGAGCGAGCCTCCGTGAGCGATGCACGCGCTGGTTCACTACCAGCCGCGTGCTAGTCTGCCCCTGTGGAATCACCCCTCCGACCTGTCCATCCATCTGCTGAAGCATGAGGGTTCGGCGGTCAAGCTGGTGAGCCAAGCTTTTCCTCCTCGTGGAGTCCTGGGGGGAGGTGGAGAGGGGTCAGGCCTGCTGAAGGCGGCGGGGCTCCTCGGAAGCCCTCGGCAGCTTCTCAGACGTGCCCGCGGCCCTCTCCGAAGACACACGGTTCTGCAGGTCGGGGGGGCTTCGGACAGGCCCGGCCGCCTGCTGAGAAGGCTTGCCCCCCCGGCACCCCCTCGATTTCCCCCCTGGGCTCGCCGCCGAAACACCATGCCAAGAAACACCCTGGCCTGCCCCCAGGGTGCCCTGGATCTCCTGGGTTTAGAGGGTTTTGCGACGGAGAGCGTGATGTTCCATACCGAAATCCATGGACGTCCTGGGGTCTCAGGGTTGGGCTTCTTGTGGAAAGGTTTCTTGTGGTCGAGCTCCTACTGTATTCCCTGCGCCGTGCTGGGGTGAAATCGAAGCGAAGCATGACTCCCCCCACTGCGAAGCTGCGCGAGGGCAGGAGCGGTCCTTGCTTAGCTGGGGGCGTCTCCAAAGATTGCCCCAAGCGGCTCCCCAGATGGCCCCAAGCGGCTCCACGGTGCCAAGCCGTAGTTCGCCCCACGGGAGTTCCCCGCTTGGCACGACGGCCAGTCGTAATGATGAAACAATGGTTTGACTGCGTCAGAGAGCTTTCAATGGCACTACCCACTCACACAACGTAAGTGTCCCCCTCCCCTTGGTCCATGGAGGGGTTCATAGCGGGCTCCGGCTCCTTTTCAGACCCCTCTCTGGGGAGGTTCTGACACCCGTTGAACACCGATGAAACCCTCCACACCAGGGCATCGGTCCCGCCCTGATAAGGGCCCGCTTGGGAGGTTATGTTTGGGGCTGTGGTAAAACAGCGCTGCTTGAATCCAAGCCCCCCCCCCAACGACTCCACATGCCACCCTTGTCGGGCAACCTGGGTACCCCCCCCGAAAGCAGGTTCGGAGGCCCCCACCTCGCCGTTCCCCGCAGGGAGAAGCACCCCATCGCTCGACACAGGGCCAGCCTTCGCAGGAAGAGAGCAGTCGACGCATTTTGCCCCCGTGTTCAGTACCGCACGTACGAGCTTCGCTCATTCCCCGTTGCATTGCAATGCGCCCCACATCCCTTCTGTTGCCATTTTGGCTCGTGCCCGATTGTCTCAGATCAACATCAATCAAGCATTTCAGTACATACCCAAACACTCCTTACAACCCGCGTACATCATATTGTGACCGAGTTGTGACCCATTCGTTTCCCAGATGGCACGTTATCTTACCATCGCCAGCCTGGTCGGGGCCCGCGGTGCAGCTGGGCTGGCATCCGCAGGCGGCTTTGATCATATTCAGACTTCGAATACGACTCCTACCATGTCGAGGGATGCATTCGGGAGGGAGTTCTTCACGATTGCAGGCGTGCCTATATTCCCCAGTACGCTGTACGGCCGCCGTTCCGTCGATGGTAAACGTGAGTCGAGTGAAGAAAAGGTGTGGATGTTCGGGCTGAAACACGGTGCTACGGAGGCGGAGTTGAACAGTCTTGTCGGAGAGCTCCATCCGACGGCGTCCAAGACAAATCCAGACCGTGGCGAGTTGCCATTCGCGGAGGGGCACCTGACCGAAGTGGAACTCGAGGAAGTGGTCAAGAAGATCCAGGTGCTCTACCCTGGACTTGTGGAGGTAGTCGAAGAGGACAGATATGCGACAAAGGTCCCCGAGAAGCTCGACGAGGCGGGAGGCGTCTCCTCGGCTTCGGGCTACCCGTGGGGCATCCAGGACATCAATGCGGACGTGCTTCGCGGGCGCGGCGCTGGCGTGAACGTGTACGTGCTGGACACCGGCATCCGCACGACCCACGTGCTGTTCGGCGGCCGGGCCTTCGCCGGAGTGGACGTCACCACGGGGTCCGTGACCGTGTGCACGCCAAGCAGCACAACGTGCGCTGCGGACGGCCAGGGGCTTAGTGGGCCCTGGAAACGACAGGGCCGTTTTTTTACCGGTTCCGTTGTGCCGTTTTTTTGTTGCCGGTTCCGACGCCGTTTTTTTTCTGGTTCCGTCGCCGTTTTTTGACCGGTTCCGGCTCCGGTTCCGATCCTGCTTGAATCGCCGCGGCGGTTCCTAACCATTTAGGCATGATATAAGCATATATATCATGTATATAAGCATATTATAAGCAACTTATAAGCAAATTATAACTGCATATCCTCGGTTATATCATCGTATCCTCGACGACGCAAGGTGCAACCATTTAGCTCTTTTAGTTACCACATAGCACACATATAAGCATTTACTAAAGTGCTTAGGCTATCTTGCTAACTTGAATACGGAGGATATCTAAGGTGGTTACGATATTCAGCTAACCTGTTTAGCGGTTGTGAAACCTCGATTAGCTAAACTCGGAAACTCAGTTTAGCTAAACACTTTAGCTTCTTCGTAAACGCGGTTTCGGTGATCGCGATGTTGGGGTTCGGCATCGCACTAAGACGAGGCGGGACATGATGAGGGCGGGGGGGGATCATGAGAAGGGGGATGCCATGGCCCCGATCTGGCCCCACGATAGTCACAAGTCGGCGTGCGGACTTGCGATTTTCGGTTGAGGAGTAGCAGGAGGAGGAGGGGGAAAAGGGGAGGACCAACATGAGGATGAGGAGGTGGAGGACGAGGAGGAGGAGAAACAAGAGGAGGAAGAGGAGGGGCCTCTTTGGGCACTATGGGACCCAGTTGGGCTGCGGGCCTTTGTGGATCACCCTCGGGGTTACTCGTTGGCCCTCATGGCGTCTTGAGTAGTATCCAAAGCCCCCCCCCCGAGAGGGCCCCATGAGGGCTCGCAGCGATATCATCGCTCGTGGGGGGCTCTGTGCTGGATGGTGAAGGGGCCTCCCGATGCACCCCCCTAAGAAGGCCCCTGGAACCTCCTTCCGTAGCCATTTAGTGCTCAAGCTTCGAGGTATCTCGATTATCTCACGTGCGGAATATATGGCGTCGGGCGGGTTCAAGGCGGCCTTGGAGACTGCCATCCCGTGGATCAACGGTCGGCTCGCGAGCTTCGCCGCGCAGGCTGAGTGCCAGCAGAAGAAAGCCAAGAGCGAGGAGCTGGTCAACTACTTGCTCCAACACGGGCTCGCCACCAAAGAGAGGATGAAACCCAAACATGTGGCGGCGTCGAGTCGGAACAGGTACGGCAACGGCGTCGACCCCGTCGATGTGCACCTGTTGCTGGCCAGGATTATCGAGCAGGGCTTCGTCAAGAGCAGGCTGGACAGCCCCACTTGCTTCCAGCTGGGCCCACACGACTCGGATGAGATCAAATTCAACGTGGATATGGCGTCGAATTCAGACGGCATGCTGGCGCCTGTGTCTCGCGAAGACATACGCGCGGTGTCGGTCACGTGCACTCACACCAACTTCGGCTTGAACGCTGTCAACGCCGAGGCGCTCTGCGACATCGCCGACCTGGAGCACCTGTGCAGGGACGGCAAGCTGGCGCGCGAGAAGGTGATCGCCATCAACCCCTCGATCAAGGAATTCCTCGACGAGGGCATCGAGTGGGTGATGATTCGGAATGAGATCCTCCACGGGTGCCCTGGCCTCCCCGAGTTCCTGCAAGATGCAGGCAACTCAGGGCACCAGACGGAGCGGACCTTGACGAAGATGCAGCTCCTGATGGAGATTCACGCGAAGGGTGGTCGGAACCTCAAGAAGAAGGGCGAGTTCGACTGGCCTGGAGTGGTCGCGAACATCGAGTCGGGAAAGCCACACCTGAAGGGGCAGATCAAGGACCTCACCAAGTTCGTCGAGAACTGGTCTGGGGGGCATGAGCAGGCGCCGCTGCTCAATGAGTTGGACATCTGGTCGAAGCTGATGAGGACCAAAGTTGATGTCCCGAGCTCGGTGTTCAAGATCTTGGGTACCGTGGAGTTCGCGAGCGCACCCGACGTCATCATCGCGATGGTGAAGAGCGCAGTGTGCAGCCCTGAGAACTATGTGAAGAACGGCGTGTCCACCCTACTGACCAGCTGGGACGTCCAGAACCTGGTCGGCAAGAACAAGAACAAGTGCTTGGAGTTTTCTGAGATCGTCAGGAAGGCGAAGCAGTTTCTTGATGGCCTCAACGATTTGACGCCGAGCCCGAATGCCACGGACAAGAACAGGCTCATTGGCGACCTCCAGGTCCGCGGCATGATGATGCTATTGGGGAAAAAGGGTAAAGGCAGGAAGACCTACGATGATCTCAACCAGATCGTGTGCGAATTCCTCGGCGACGTCTACCTGCGCTTCCCTGGGAGCGACCAGAAGGAGGTCCCGTTCGACGTCGAGCCAGATATGCAGCAGAAGGGGCAAGCGTCGTCGGCGTCGGGGCCAGTGGGATTCAAAGTCTTCACTCGCGACGGCGACGTCTCCCAGCAGACACTCGTCCAGCACGGGCTCGTGGCCAAGGCCGTGGTCGAGCGCAAGGTGCCGCCGTTCTTCGGCGGCCCGTGGACCATCGTGAGGTTCGAGGGCTCCCGCGCCATCCTCGAGCCAGAACCTGGGGATGATGACGCCAAGAAGCGGGCGACGAGCAAGAAGGCCGACCAGCTCAAGGTGCCGACGGGCCAACTGCTGGACGAGTACCAGGTACCTCGGGCTACCTTGAGAAGCATGAGGGGATGCATGAAGATACTGAGGGGGATGGGGGAGGAGGAGGAGGAGGAGGAGGAGGAGGAGGAGGAGGAGGAGGAGGAGGAGGAGGAAGATGATGAGGAGGAGGAGGAGGGGGATGAGGAGGATAAGGATACTGATACGAGCGAGGAAGAGGGCAGGGGGAGGATGAGGATGGGGTTGGATGATATGACGACGATTACGATGACGATGGCGACGATGATGATGCTGCTGCTGATGACGACGACGACGACGACGACGACGACGACGACGACGACGACGTAGAGATGATGATCACGATGGTGATGTGATGCTGGTATGGTGGTGATGATGGCTGTGGCGGTGGTAATGCTGATGCTGCGGATGGCGATGGTGACTACGATGGCGCTGGTGATGCTGATGTTGCTGCTGCTGGTGATGTTGAGGATGATGATGCTGATGATGATGAGGAAGACGAGGACGACGACGCTGATGAGGATGCGGAGGATGATGCGGAAGGCGAGGAGGGGGAATCTGAGGAGGAGGAGGAGGAGGAGGAGGAGGAGGGGGAGGAGGAGGAGGAGGAGGAGGAGGAGGAGGAGGAGGAGGAGGAGAGGCGGGGGGCTGCCCTCCCCGCAGAGGTCATGAAGCGCTGGACGCACCTCTCCGTGACGGTCGGCCCTGACGAGGCCTCCGCCCTGGAGCTTCGGGCCCTGAGCCCCTCCCTCCCTCCCTCCCACCCTCCCTCCTCCCTCTTCCCTCTCCCTCTTCCCTCTTCCCTCCCCCCTTTCCACCCTCCCTCCTCCCACCCTCCCTGCCCCCTCTTCCCTCTCCACCACCACCGCCACCACCGCCACCACAACCACAACCACACACGCACGCACGCACGCACGCACGCACGCACGCACGCGCACCACCACCCACTACGCACGCGCGCGCGGAGCCACAAGTCCGCTACGACACGCGTCCGCGGATAGAGAAAATCAGCGCCATGGTAAGGGGTGGGAGGGAGGGGTAGGACGTCAGATATGACGCGAGCGCACCTAGCTTGCCCGACCCCCTCGTCTACCTCCCTCGTAGCTTCTTTGGAACCCCGCCGCAGGACCACCAAGATGTCCTGACCGAGGGGTGCAAAGCATCGGTGCGGGACACGGTGATGACCGCGTACCGCATCACGAGCCCTGCCGTGGACCTCACCATCAAGTACGCCACGTCGCCGACGGGCAAGACCGAGGTCCAGGAGGTGGCGTGCAACAGACCATATGAGCCTGGCCAGTTGATCATCGTGCCCTTGAGCATCAATGTCGGGGCATGCTCCACAGACAAGGTCCCCGAGGGCGCCGTCATCGTGGATGGTGTCGGGGCCCCGTCGGGCACGGCCGTGTACCTCACCAAGTGCTGCCAGCTCCCCGTGGGCGACAAGAAGGCGTTCGTGGTGCCGTACTGGTGCATCCCTGAGGCCGAGGATGATGACAGTGCGCCGCTCGCTGTCGGCAAGCTGAAGCTCGACCTCGCGTGCACTCCCAACGCCCGTGGCATGGGCGGTTGCAGTCGCAACGTGCTGATCCCCGTGCTGCACAACACGACGAAGCTGAAGAAGGGCACGGTGCTCGCACGTCCGTCTCACTGCTCGCCCGATGTGCCCCTGAGCGGCGCCAACAAGAGGCCGCGCGAGTAGGTGCTCGACGTTGTCGAGTCGCCCGAGAGAGGATGGGAATGGACGATGATGACGATAACGATGACGATGACGATGACAATGACGATGATGATGATGATGATGATGATGATGATGATGATGATGATGATGATTATGATGATGATTATGCTGTTGATGATGATGATGGTGATGATGATGATGATGATGATCAGCGCAAGCGCATTAACTCGGCATGGCATTCCCATCCCCACGCGGGCTCCAGCAGCGACGCCCTCTCTGCGGGGCTCGCTGCTTTCCGCTGCAGGCGCGAGGCATCTCGCTCTGCCCTTGGCGCCCGCGGCGAAGGCGCTGGCAGCCAACGTTGTTGCTGGGCGGAGGGCGCCCGTGCTGCCAGCGCACTAGCTCTCGCAGAAATCCTCGCCGTTCATCTCCTCCTCCTCCTCCTTCTCCTCCTCCTCATCCCCCTCCTCCTCCAGTCAGGGCCGCGACGTCCAGTGGGAGGGGGGCGAAGCCGTCGGCCCACCTTGTGCAGGGCGCGTGATGGCGCAGATGTCGAGGCAAATCCAGCTGCGGCATGGCCCTCCCGACCCCTCCCGAAAGATGGCTTTTTTCATTGAGTTCCGGCTAACTTTGGAGTTCGGGGCGGGGGGGCCAGAGGAGGCTGGAGGTCGGAT